TTATTTCCTTTTTAAAAATAGTCACACAGGGGTTAAGGTTAGCAACTAATATTATTGATTGACATATATTTATTATATGTTCTAAATGTGCATAAATCAGATAAAAATTAAGAACCTATATAAATTTATATGGAAACTTAAAGGTTTATATGTTCTCTAGTCGCTATGTAGGTTACTGTTTCTATACTAAATGCTATTTTAAAGTTCGTTTCGAAAAATGGAAACTATAAACCCAAACTGAACTTTTTTGTGTTCTAAGTTATCATCATGCTTTTCCTCTTTTGAATATGGAGTATATCTTTTGATTTTTTTCCTAGCATTTTTTTCGCATAAATATCCGTGCCCAGTAAAAAGTTGAAAAAAAAATTAAAGCATTTAAATTTCTTGCTCTTCCATGACAAAAAAAACTCAAAGAAATGTGTCATTTAAAAGTATATGTGTTATTACGTCTTCGTAATAATTTTTCTATCCAATAATCAGGATTTCATTCCAAATTACTTCGTTTCTCGTTTTCGATTAGTCAGACTCACTTTATGGCCACTGAAAACTCTCGAAATACTAGTAGAGTAGCTCTTTGAAGATGGATATAATTTTTAACACATCAGTTCCATTTTTCAAATAAATTTAAAAATTGGATCTACGATGCAACTTGCTTTAGACATAATAGAGGCAAAGACAACGTCAGTATACAGACCGATCAGGAAGTTCCGAATGGGATTTTAGCATACAGAAAAAATGCAGAATAAAAAATGTTTTCTTGATAATTCATTATAGTTGATCTTCCTCCACTTCATTTACGAATTACAATTTGCTACAAAAAATGGTACGGATATATCTTACATGCCCACTTAGTTGTTAAATACTCTAATGATTCAAATAAAATTTATTGTTTTACTGAAATGGTATATATTTTTATCAACGATATGAGATGTCAAACATTTCATTTACAGACTGGTTTTAATCTACGTATCCTTTGAAAATTAATTGTCCATATAGTTTAGCATTGGTTTGCTCAGTTCCTAGTTTCTTATCCATTTATTCATTTCGTACTCTTAATTAAGCAAAAGAGTAGGAAAATTATACAAGACTGTCTTTAGTGATATCAAGCTAATTCTTTACCTGACTCTTAAAACCAGTTAAAAATAAGAGAATTTAGTCTAAGAAAATACAGTCTAAGAGTATGTACTACTCTATATAATACCTACTAAGAAGCTAATAATGCTATTAGTGATAGCATTCATTACGTATGATCATTAAATGAACTATAAATAGTTTGGTTTTTGTTCAATTTAAATCAGTTTCACTTTCGTCGGAGTGAAGTAAATAACTAAAATAAAAATTAGAAAAATAATAATGGAACGTTGGCAAAATAAAGTAGCTGTAGTGACCGGTGCCAGTTCTGGAATTGGAGCTGCGGTAGTCAAAGACTTAGTCAATGCTGGATTAATTGTTGTTGGATTGGCACGTCGCGTACAACGTGTTGAAGAACTTAAAGAGCAAGTTGCTAAGGGAAAGAAAGAAAATCTACATGCACGTCAATGTGATGTTTCCAATGAGGATTCAGTGAATGAAGCATTTGATTGGATTGAAAAGAATCTAGGTGGAATTGATATTTTAGTCAACAATGCAGGCATTTTCAGACAAGGCAATTTAACTGAACTGGATACCAACTTAGTGCAAGAAGTCTTACAGACTAATGTCATGGGTGTGGTATATTGTACCAAACGTGCATTTAAATCAATGAAAGAACGTAATTTCAATGGACATGTTTTAATTATAAACAGTATTGTTGGTCATAGTGTTCCAAATACTTCGATTTTAAAAGCACCATCAAGTAATATGTATCCACCGTCAAAATATGCTCTGACTGCAATGACAGAAATTTATCGACAGGAATTTAATAGTTTGGAAACTAAAGTGAAGATTACTGTAGGTTCTAATAGCTAATTAAATTTAAATAATAAATAATAGTTTTGTTTTTATTTCACAGAGCATTAGTCCTGGATTAGTTTCGACGGAAATAGTTCCTGATATGTACAAGGAAATGATGGCCGATCGTATATTGCAATCTGAAGATATTTCTAATGCAGTTTTATTCGCAATTTCTACACCTCCACATGTGCAAATTCATGAGTTAACTATAAAGCCTGTAGGCGAAATGTTTTAATAAAGCATGAACAAAAAGTAAAGTTTGTGTAATTTTGAAGTACATTTAAATAAAACTTTAAATCAAAAAAGTATATATTTTTCTTATTACGAAATGATTTTATTTCTATAATTTTTTATTTGCTAATAGCAGTTAAGTTATTTAAGGTTCTTGCTTCTATTGAGATAAATATATGAATAACAATACAACAAACTACAATCATCATCTCTGGTATAGATTTCGTATAGGTCCTATGCCTGTCTTACAACATTCTGCTTTCCCTTTCCAGTTCCCTATATTTATCTCCACTCTATCATTATCGACACTTTCCGTCGTTTTCTTGACCTTCTACTTTTTCTGTTGGTTTTATGTCATTCCAGAATATCTTGTATTGCCCTCTTGCTTCCGGCATTCGTAAACGTGACCGAGCCGCCTTAAACGCTGCATTTTTATAAACTTGCTGATTGTGTCATGTTCTACAAGTCATTCTAGTTCTTGGTTGTATCTTATGATCTATACTCCGTTTTCTCCCATAGGTGAAAAAATTGTTTTTAGAATTCTTCTCTCAAATACTGTTATTTTATTCGCTTCAGCTTTAGTAAATCTCCATGCTTCGCAACCATACGCCGGCAATCCACCGGCTGGATTAATGTTTTGTACATTTCAAGTTTTGTTTTTCGTGATATATTTTTGCTTGTTATCAATCTCTTCAACCCATAGTATTACCAGATCTATTCAATTCTACCAGCTTGAGTTCTGTCCTGAAGAGTGTTTATTGCAATATTTTTTTCATTGAATACGACGCCTAGCTATTTATAGCTACTGACACCATCTATTGTATAGGTGTTAATACTTAGGGTACTAGAAGTCGTTTGTGTGGTTGATATTAACATGTATATAGTTTTTATGTAGCTAATTTTTATTCCTGTTTTTTTGACTTCCTCTTTAATTATCTTAAGTAATCAATGTTAGACCATCGCATATTAATAAGGTTATTTTGTTCTATTTATTCCTGTGCTATTATGATTTATTTCTTCAATGTTCAATAATGCTTTGTTGATGGCTAAATTGAGGATCATTGCTGACAAAGCATCACCCTGTTGCGTGCCGGTGTTTAATTCAAAGTGTTCGGAGTAAGATTTTTAGACTGCAACCTTTGCCGCTATATTTTCTAAAGTCATAAGTATGAGATTTACGATTTTTCTCGGTATGCCTTGCATGAGTACTTAGTTTTTTATCTGTTTTCTATTGGCATTATCAAAAGCTTGCTTAAAGTCTATAAATAGACAATGTATGTCGATTCCATATTGAAACTAAATAAACTACAATACTTACTATATTATGACCCTAAATTAATCTATTTAAAATTCAAGTATTGTGAGTTTGATAAACATATTTCAGTCGAGAAAATTCGAGAACGCACATTAAAATACTTAACGAAATTGACTGATAGCTGATGACGCGATAATTATGGAAAAATTTGTATAGTCATTTTGATATTAAGATTTCTTTTCGAAATTATTTTTATTATATTCTTAAAAATTACCACACAACATACTATATATGTACAGCAATTAATATTTATTGACTGACATAATATTCTTGCAGTTTGATTTGAACTTACATGTGGGTCTGATATAAATTAAGTATTTAATTAGTTAATTTTATAGAGAAATTTTAAACTGTATGTAATCATGTAAACTGTAACCCTGGATCAAGATTTAATTTTTTCTTATCTGAAGTTATCATTGTAGTTCTTCCTTTTTAAATATGTATACCTAAATATCCATATTTTGTCCTAGCAATAATTTTGCATAAATCTTCGTCCCTAGTGAAACATCTCAAAGGAATATGACATATAAAACTTTTTATAATTTTATAAATATTCATTTTATTTATTTATTTATGACCATTTTTAAAAAATTTCATATTCCGAATAATGATTTTTTAATGATTTTATGTTGCGATTTACAGTAAATGTTTCTTATTGAAATATATCCAATAACAAGGATTTCATTCCAAATTCAGCAAGAAAAGTTCATAACTTGGTTCCTGGTTTTCGAGTAGTTAGACTCACTTCATTGCAGCTTGAAACTCTCAAAATACTGGTCGAATAGCTTTTCTATTACCACCTCAGTGCTGTCTCTAAAACAAATCTAAAAAATGGAGCTATGGTGCACGTTTTTTTGGGCATGGAAGAGTGTATAACAATGTCACCTTTCAAGTCGTTTAGGAAGTTCCTAACGGAGGTTTAGCATACAGAAAAGAAAACAAAAGCATAGTTGATCTTCTACTTTATTTACTAATTACAATTTGCTATTAAAAATGGCACGGAAAAAAAATGGCATAATATTTACATTTAGCTTCTGTATACTCTAATGGTTCAAATAAACTTTATTTTAGTTAATTGGACATATATTCATACCAAATATCAAGCAAACGATATGAGACATTAGATATTAGGTATTTTCGATTTAAAATCCATTGCAATATGTTACATATGCATATGTATAGTCTAGGAAGCTTTTATAAATTAATCCTTTAAAATTGTCCATATAGTTTAGTATTGGTTCTTTCTAACCGGCCCATAATTCAGTTTCTTATCGATTCATTCATTTCGTTACTTTAATTAAGCAGAAGAGTGAGAAAAATGTCTCAGACTGTCATAAGTAGAATCAAGCTTATCGTTTAGCTAGCTCTTAAAACTTATTCAAAATAAGAGAATTCAGTCTAAGAGTATGTTCTACTCTGTGTAATATCTACTTAGCAGCTAATAATGCATTAATATTGTATGATCATTAAATAAACTATAAATATTTTAGCTGCAGTTGAATTTGATGCAGTTTCAGTTTCGTCAGTGTAAAGTGAACAATTTAAGTGTTAACTAAAACAAAACTTAGAAAAATAATAATGGAACGTTGGCAAAATAAAGTAGCTGTAGTGACCGGGGCTAGTTCTGGAATTGGGTCTGCTATTGTCAAAGACTTGGTCAATGCTGGATTAATTGTTGTTGGATTGGCACGTCGTGTACAACGCGTGGAAGAAATTAAGCAACATGTGACCAAGGAAAAGCAAAAAAATCTGCATGCACGACAATGTGATGTTTCCAATGAGGATTCAGTGAATGAAGCATTTGATTGTATTGAAAAAAATTTAGGTGGTATAGATATATTGGTGAATAATGCGGGCATCTCTAAGTCAGGCAATTTATGTGAAATTGATGCAAATTTAGTGCAAGAAGTTCTACAGACCAATGTTATGGGTGTGGTATATTGTACCAAACGTGCATTTAAATCAATGAAAGAACGTAATTTTAATGGACATGTTATAATAATAAACAGTGTTCTAGGGCATACAGTATTTAATATTGGTATTTTGAAAAGGCCATCAAATAATATGTATCCTCCATCAAAATTTGCTGTGACTGCAATGACAGAAATTTATCGTCAAGAATTTAATAATTTGGAAACTAAAGTGAAGATCACTGTACGTTTTATAAGAGGATTGAATTTAATGAAATTTTATTAATTTGTAATTTTTTTATAGAGCATTAGTCCTGGATTAGTTGAAACGGAGATTGTTAACGATCAATTTAAGAAAATTATGAACAATCGTATATTACAAGCGGAGGATATTTCCAATGCAGTTTTATTCGCTATTTCTACACCTCCCCATGTGCAAATTCATGAATTGACTATTAAACCTGTAGGAGAAATTTTCTAAGTTTGGATAGACTTTGATGAAAAAAAAATTAATTATTGTGTTTAATAAATTTTATCATTAATGGTTTTCTAATGGTTTTATTTTGATATCAATATATTATTATTATTTATCAAAATTTTTTGTTTGCGTGACTGGTTTTGTAAATAGTAATTAATTTTTAATTGCAACAAATTATATCAAGTGTTTTTGTAGTTTATTAACAACCATTTTCCAGTTTAATTTTTTATTTTTCTAACATTTTGTTATTATTATTAAATAAGTATTATTATAAATAATAAAAATCTTGATTGCTCTTATATACAGAATAACACGAAATAAATTTTCTCCATCTGCGTCGATTGTCAGCGGAGTTGCTTTGTAATTTATACCGTCCATGTACGGTCCATGTAATGTAGTATATATCTGATCGCCTAGAAATTTTTGCGGTCTTATTATTTTCTTTTACATCTTTATTTCTTTTATATAATATATCCAATATATATATATTCTTTATTTCTATATAAAATCAGTTTACTCCCTGTTAATGTATGGAGTATTTCAAAATAGGATATATATAATATATCCAATATATATACATTCTTTATTTCTATATAAAATCAGTTTACTCACTGTTAATGTATGGAGTATTTCAAAATAGACCCCACATTCTTTTCAAGCAATAATAGACTTGAATGTTTCGTATGCTGAAGTTATTCAATGAAATTGTTTAAGCCATGATGTATTGCGGGCTTATCATATTTAAATATATAACATATTCGTTAAAGTTCCGCTGTCCTTCTCTATGATACACTCAAAGTGATTGAAATTCTCAATATTTTCTGTAGTTAAATTAGCTTTTCTCCATTTAAGAAATCCTGTGTACTTGAAGCTTATTAGCAGTAGATTAGTAAGGTTAAAATGGAAATATTTTTTGAAGAGGTTAAAGATGTCATTACGTGTATCACACATCAAACCATTGCTCAAAAAAATCTTAATTTTTTTCCATGTTTTAAAAGATGTTCTGGGATTATAAACAAATTATAAAGAAAGACTCCGCCAATGATGACAAAACCTCTTCAATAACTGAAACCGCTAAAATGAACATTCAATCATAATATATTTTAAATTCAATAAAAATCCCTTTTGATATATTAATATTTCTAATACAATTTACACAATTAAAATTTGATATAAGTTCAAATTTTAATATATTTAAAAAATATTTATTTTAAAATATCAAATGTGTTGTGTTTATAGAAATCTTCCCTAATCATTGCCTATGACTATATACATATGTTGTGATGTCTAATTTATATGATTCAGCATATTTTTTTTCCATTGAATGGATTTCATTGCCTTAAAAGTTTATTTCAAAAAAATATCTCTTATAGTGTTCACCAAATTAATTTTAATATATTATTTATATCTAAAAGCAAAATCAAATATTTTAATTTATGGGTACTTAAAAATTAATTCTATTTTATAATGACTTGCAAAAAAAAATAATTCTCTAATATTATTTTAGCAATGTCATGCTGGTGTATAATTTAAAAAGTTTTGCAATATGTTTGAGTATTATTTTTTGAGAGGGCTCTCTTCACCATATAAAAGCAGATTTATATTCTCTCTAGAAAACTCCCAGTACAATACATTACATTTTCATATTATTTTTATACGATTTACAATTTTATTTTAAAATATTTAACATTTTGAAGTCTAAAAGCGTACTATAAAAATATTTGATTCTCATCAAAAAATTGAGATGTAAGATTCCATATTTTGATGTTATAAGTCAAATAATTTCAAGACCAACACTAGTAATAGAACTATTTTTATCTTTATTAATTAATTGAACTTTGTAAAATTGCCTGCCGTGCAATCCACTCATTAAAGAGGCAATCTTCAACTGAACTCACTTCAAAGCAATTACTGGAAATGATATCGGATCTTATATTGCAATATCAACCTTATCACATAATGTAAATATTTAAACTAATAATTAATACTGTGGAAGAAATTGTTTATATTTGTTAAATTTTAAAGTAATTCTGAAAAAAAAAAATTGTTTTAAATTCAACATTTGTGCAGTATAAAATAATAAAATTTAGACGCGACAGATAATTAAAACAACTACTGGACTTATATAAAAAGTAATCTATGTATTGTCAACTAGTGCAGTATTAGGTTAAGTGTAAATTAGTTGATATAAACCCTATTAACAACCTGAACTTAATGAAATAGAATACTACTATTAGTATTATGAGTATTATATGTGATTTGCAATTAGTATTGTAGTCAAGCAATTCTAAATACAAAACGCATCACCTCTTCGGTTGTCAGTCATATACTGACTCCTTTATTTTCATGGTACACATCAATTGAACTTGACAAACTAGAGTTGCCATGTACATTTTCTTATGTGTAATATTACAATGATAAACTAATTACTAAACTTATGAACTAAACACTTATACTAAATACTTACTCTAAATAATATATACTACTACAGTATTAAAATATTTTTAAATTTATTTTAAATCAAATTTTCATTTTACCATATGAATCGCTAAATAACCGCTAAATATGGTAATTCTATGGTATATATATTTTTTTTTCGTCAAAATATTTTGAATATTCAACTCATTTTTCGCTTGGAGGATATAAATTAGCAATTTTGATCATAGCAGGTGTTTGATTTTTGATTCTTTAGTGTGATATTGAAGATACAGATGTGGGGGATATGTTATTTTATAAGACCATAAACTACAAGTCGTATATTAGGTGTACCGGTATGAAGTGAGCGTAAAGAAACAAATGTTCCGACAGGGAACATTTGTTGTGAACGAGCCTTTATTTTTTTTTGTTTGTTTGCTATGACATGTGTGAAATATATTTAGTGTACATCAAGTCATTGAACAGACAAGATCATATTTTTTCATCGTGTTAAAAATGTCGAATTTTGTACCAGAAAGTGATGATTTGCGGTAAGCATTAATTTTTGTTTTCATTTGAAGAATAGTGGTGCAGAGTCGCATCGAATGCTTGCCGAGGAATATGGTGATCATGCTCTATCAGAAGCAACAAGATGGTTTCAACGGTTCAGATATAATGATTTTGGTGTGAGAAATGAAGAACGTGGAAGACCGCCAAAAAAGTTTGAAGACGCCAAATTGCAAACGATATTGGATGGAGATGACACTTTGGGTCAAAAGCAAATGGCAGAAATGTGAAATGTTGCACAACAAACAATTTCTGACCGTTTAAAAGCTATGGGAAAGATCCAAAAGTGTGGAAAATGGGTGTCACATGAATTGAATGAAAGACAGATGGAAAACCGAAAAAACACTTGTGAAATTTTGATTCAAAGACACGAAAGAAAATCGGTTTTGCATCGGATTGTTACTGGCGATGAAAAATGGATTTATTTTAAGAATCCTAAACGGAAAAAATCATGGGTTAACCGGGACAACCATCAACATCGACTGCAAAACCAGATCGATTCGGCAAGAAGACAAAGCACTTTGATTCCTACGAGGAGGTCGAAAATTGGGTGTCTGGTTGGTTTACTTTAAAAGACGAACAATTTTTTTGGCGTGGTATCCACAAAGGTGGTCAAAATGTGTAGAAAGCAATGGCCAATACTTTGAATAAAATGTTTTTTATTTTCCTATTAATAATTAGTGTTTTATTTTCACCAAAAAATGCTCATTTTATACCGGTACACCTGTGATATACATTAAGACTGAAAAGTTTTCGGAAATTCTCATTTAAAATTCGCGCGCTGTATATTTTTCGATATTTTAAGTTTATGTAGTTTGGCAGCACTGTCCTTAATTACTATGCCAAAAATGAGCTCGATCTGTCAGACAGTTCGTTTACGGCAGCTGTTGAAACCAGTTCACCTCAGTAGTGCGTTGCGAAATGTCTTCGACGGTCGTACGACCGTCCTGGAAGGCTTTGTACCACTCATAAACTTGAGTTTTCGATAAAACTGATTCCCCATAAGCCTTTTGTAGCATTCGCAACGATTCTGCACACGAAATTTCGTTCGAAACACAAAATTTGATGCAAACTCTTTGTTCAATATTTTTTTCCATTGTTTTTTTCGCAACGCCCTACTGAGGTGAACTGGTTTCAACAGCTGCCGTAAACGAACTGTCTGACAGATCGCGCTCATTTTTGGCATAGTAATTAAGGACAGTGCTGCCAAACTACATAAACTTAAAATATCGAAAAATATACAGCGCGCGAATTTTAAATGAGAATTTCCGAAAACTTTTCGGTCTTAATGTAAGGTACATAGTAATTTATTTATTTAAAGTAAAATAACGATTTATAGTACATCTTTTCATGATCGAAATCTAATATAAATGTACCCAAGTAGTATTATAATAAGGAAGAGGAAAATTTTACAAAAAACCTTATACAAAAATCTTATCAGAAGTATATATGAGAAGTATATATAATCAAATTAAAAAAATTGAATGTTTTCTAAATTTTCTATTAAAATTTCTTTTAAATGTATAAAATAAGAAGCTAACTCTTCTTTAGGTAGATTTGCACTGACAGTTTATAAAGGAATTATTATCAGTTCAGTACTATTTTCTACAAGAGCATGACTTTAGTTTTTTTTTTTAAATATATTTAATATTAATTAATTAATTAAAAAATTGTTCAAACTTTAATAAAATATGCAATAAATATAAAGCACTACAAATTAAAATAAACAAATTTCATTGTTGAAATGAACATGTGTTATCTATTTAAAAATTCCTCAAAGATATTACAAATTAATTTAAAACTGAGATACATTAAATCATTTTTGAGATAGTGGTTTCTTTGTAGTTTGTAAAAAGAAACTGAAGAGAGTACAGTCTCTTAATAGAAATACCGCCAAATAAACTAAAATTAAATATTGTACAGTGGAGGTATCTCAATCTTTTAAAATTTCATTGTCAAGGTCAATTTAATAAATACATTTTATTTAATGTTCAGAGAATTCGCAAAATTTTAATATTACAGTAATTTTTATACATATTATTATGAATACGTACTTTTATATGAATATGAGAAAACACTACAAAATATTGCTTCTGCAATGCAACCTCTTCATCACTACATCGCTACGTCGATAACAGATATTTCACATACATCATATATTATTAAACTAAAACAGTTTTTATTTATTGATTTAAAATAGTAAAAGTAAAAGCTATTATCTATAACTATAATTATACAAGCCTTTATCTGATATAATTAACCATAATTTCAATGTTTTTTTTTGTGTTTCTCAGGTTTGTTTTTTAAACATGTGTTTTAATTTATTATTACACATGTAATTAGCTGATAACATAGATATATAACTATAAAATTACATTTAATATTGATAAGTATAGTTGACAGATGTATATATATAAAGACGTGCTCATATTATTTCCCCTATGGGTTTAATAATCATTTCATGTATTTGAACGTGTGGTGGAGTTGATATAGCAAACAAAATAGCACTGGAAACATCCTCTGATTTCAATATATGATCGCCTATTGCCTGTTTCATTTGTTCTGGAACAATTTCTGTTTCAACTAATCCGGGGCTAATACTCTATGAGAAACGTAATAATATATATTTCCGTTTATATGTGTATTTATAATGATTATAGACTTACTGTAATCTTTATTTTAGTACCCATATTATTGAACTCCTGTCTGTATACTTCAGTAATAGCAGTTAAAGCGAATTTTGACGGTGAATACATATTATATGATGGAACATTTGAGGTCTTACTATTTGGAACAGTGTGTCCACCAATGCTATTTATCAATATAATGTGACCGTTAAAATTACGTGTTTTCATCGATTTGATTGCTCTCTTAGTACAATAAATCACACCCATAACATTCGTTTGCAAAATTTCTTGTGCTAAATTCGTGTCCATTTCAGACAGAGTGCCTATTCTAAAAATCCCAGCATTATTTACCAATATATCTATTCCTCCAAGATTTTTTTCAATCCAATCGAATGCTTTATTGACATATTCCTCTTTTGAAACGTCACATTGCAGTGCGTGTAGATTTCTTTGTTTTTCCTTAGTCACTTGCCGTTTGAGGTCTTCAACCCGTTGTACACGACGTGCCAATCCAACGACAATTAATCCAGCATTGACTAAGTCTATGCTTAAAGCAGCACCAATTCCAGAACTGGCACCGGTCACCACAGCCACTTTATTTTGCCAACGTTCCATTATTGCTTTTCGCACAAAAAACTAGTTCACTTTATACCGGTAAAATTCAAACTAAATGTAGTTGCATCGGAGCTTCATTATATATACAAATTTTTGTCTGAGTGTAGAGTTCAAAATTCACAAATTATAATGTTTTTGTAGTTATTCATATAATGCATTTTTAGGTATGTACTCTTTTTTACAGTGGAGCAAATCTTAAATTAGCAACTTAAGAGTTATAAATTTTGTACTACATTCGTATAAATTTTTTATTTCATTTTATTTTAATATATTATTGTATGGAGATAGTGCCGTCTAGCACTTTAGCTTATATGATTTATGTAGACTATCTTGGAATTCAATGATTTCTTTAGCTTCTTTAAGTTTCGAAATCTATTGATTACTTGTTGTAATATATTATTATTTTATGTGAGATTTAAAATTTGCAGATCTTATTTATATTTTTTTTTACCTTTCTAAAATGTTACTCTGAAAAGGTTATCTTGCAATAGACACATCATGACCTTAAACTACACAAGCCAAGCAACAACACAGTCTGACAGGTGAAGAAAACTTGTTGAATATATTTAATATTATTATTACATGCTCTAATTTTTTCATAATTATTCCATCTTCAATTTTTTGATTGACATTAAAATAATATAAAATCGTTTTTAATAATGCCTTATCTTGGTATTATGTTGATTATAATATATTTTCCAACACACAAAGATTGGAAATTCGACTGTACAAAATAGAATTGTGTTGATAATTAACTGATTTTGTTTTTCAAACCCAGGGCGCATAATTCAATAGTCAGAAGGCTCTATTAAACATTTAACTTCCTAATCTACTTGGTTACTTAAATCGATTTTGTTGTACTATTGCAAAACTTTCAGCGTGTTTTAACAAGGGATTAATCATTATCAACCAAGTTGATTAATTTTCTTTTTGGAAACCATTATATCAGTTCAATCTCTTCGAAGCGTAACACAAAAGGATCTATACGTTGTTTATAAATTTTAAAATAGCGGTAATTTTTTTTCGACGTACCATTCAAAAAGTGTGTGCACTTTAGTGCAGTGAACTACAAGTGAACTGCAACAACAGAAATTCAATTTATATTATTTTAATTAACTGAATTTTTGGCTGATCATACAGCTGTTTCGAGTATTGCCATATACCCTTCATCAGTGGTCTTGGAAATAATTCTTATATTTAATTATTCGTAAATAATTATTTTTGAGACTGCAAGTACCAGGAATCGATCTCGGGTTCTGCCAAATGTGAAGCTCAGAATCAGCGCACCTTAACCAACTGATCCGAAGCCGTACTCAACTTTTTTATGTTCGCACATTTTTCTGGAGTTTTGTTACTATTACTATGAAAGTTTTTTTTTATTAACAATTTTACTTGCTGTGTTTATATAAGAACGAAATCATAAATCAATTGTAGAATAATTAAATTAATTAATTAATTATATTTTTATTTTTAATTGTTAAATTTCAATACTATTGTGGTATTATTTGTTACAGGATTTGTTCTTTCTTATGTATAGAACCTAATCTAGGTACGTAATGCTGAGAAAGTCATGCTAATGTTACTCCACTAGTCGCATTTATTTATATAAAAAAATTAAATGAAGCACTTAACAATTTCATTAATTACACTTATAGCATCCTTATGTATTATTTAATTATAAGTAGCGATTAAAAATTATTTAACAAATAAAAATTCATATTAAATTGTCATTGTAGAAGCTATAAAGTCATTATAAGTGTTGATGTTTACTAACAGCTTTATAACACTATTTAAACTTCAATAAAGGTTTACGAATAAAGCTTTATAACACTGTTATCAAGCCTTTACAAATAACATCTCTGACAAAAAGTATTATAAGTATACTATAACATTGTATGAATTTGACTATATGACTTCAAGTTAGATGGTTATATTTTATACTATATTATATACTTAAGATATATAATAAGTGTATAAATATAGTCGCTGTATAAATTATGGTTCAGATACACGACGTTGGCGCAAATATGTTTTCATTGGTAAACACAAGCTTTTAAGAAACTTGCTATATAATCAACGTTATATATTATGTATTACTACTGAAAGCTAGATAGATTAATTAGAATATTGGTATGTAAATTAAGTACTCAGATACAATTTTTTGTATGAAAACTTCAGTACGAATTAATAAATTCTAATATATTTATATGACTTTTCATACTTGTCTCAAATATTTTTTAATAAGAGTGAGTTTTTATCATCTAATGAGGAATTTTAAATAAGTTTTAATTATAAAATTAAATTTTACATCAAATTCTATTATTAAGCATAAAATTCGATTACCTCTAAGTAATACCCATTTTATATTTTCTTCAGCAAAGCGAAAGCTAATTTTTTTGGTTTCAAACTAGAAAAGGCTTAAAGATCGTTGAGAAGAAAATACAATACAGAAAATCTGATTCTATACTTTTTATTATAGCGTATGGAATTCATTAAAATATTTGTAATGTAATAACAAAACCATTGAAGACCGTGGCTATATTCGTCCATATGTCTGCATATTTTATTTAAAAACATCTGAAATTGTTAAATAAATTTCAATTGAGTATGATGATTGGTGGGAAAGATTTATTTATTTTTTTTTTTTTGATAAATTACGGATACATTTTGCATGGGGAATATATAAACATATATAATTTATATAATTTTACACAAGATAATAACAACCGGTTCTCAAGGACGGTATCTATTGTATTGACAGTGTTTTTAAATGATAGAATTAAGATGCTTTGCACTCTTCATAACACTTTATTAGTAGAACAATTTGTACTCCGTGATTTAATTTAGTTGTATCGCCTAAGATTAGCTGCTATAAACTATTTACTAGATTTTTATTTACTCAATTTTTTCTCTTAAATAAACAGAAGCCTGAGAAAAATAAATTACACTGTTATAAGCAGAACCAAGCTAATCTTTAGCGGGCTCTTAAAACGATTTCAAAATAATAAGAGAATTTACTCTAAGAGTACTGCTCAATATAATATCCACTTAGAAGCTAATAATGCAATCAGTGATAGCATTCATTATGTATGATCATTAAATAAACTATAAATAGTTTGGGTTTTGTTAAATTTAAATCAATTTTACTTTCGTCGGTGTAAAGTAAATAACTAAAAGGAAACTTAGAAAAATAATAATGGAACGTTGGCAAAATAAAGTAGCTGTGGTGACCGGTGCCAGTTCAGGTATTGGTGCTGCGGTAGTCAAAGACTTAGTCAATGCTGGACTAATTGTCGTTGGATTGGCACGTCGTGTACAACGCGTTGAGGAACTTAAAGAACAAGTTGCTGCGGGAAAGCAACAAAATCTACATGCACGTCAATGTGATGTTTCCAATGAGGATTCAGTGAATGAAGCATTTGATTGGATTGAAAAGAATCTGGGTGGAATAGATATATTAGTAAATAATGCTGGTATCTACAGGGCAGGTAATCTATGTGAGCAGGAAACAAATTTAGTGCAAGAAGTTTTACAGACTAATGTCATGGGTGTGGTATATTGTACAAAACGAGCATTGAAATCCATGAAAGCACGCAGTTTCAGTGGTCATGTTTTAATAGTGAACAGTGTTGCTGGTCATAGAGTATTTAATACTGGTATTTTAAAAATGCCATCAACTAATATTTATTCTCCATCCAAATTTGCTGTGACTGCAATGACAGAAATTTATCGACAAGAATTTAATAATTTGGAAACTAAAGTGAAGATCACTGTACGTTTTATGAGAAGATTGAATTTGATGAAGTTTTATTAATTTATAATTTTCTTATAGAGTATTAGTCCTGGATTAGTTGCAACGGAGATTGTTCCTGAACAATATAAGGAAATGATGTCTAATCATATATTGCAATCTGAAGATATTTCTAATGCAGTTTTATTTGCAATATCTACACCTCCACATGTGCAAATTCATGAATTGACTATTAAACCTGTAGGAGAAATTTTTTAAGTTTGGATGGACATTGATGATAATAAGCAAAAAATAATGCATTGAAATATTAATTTCAAGTATTGTTGATATTGAAGTAAATAAATAAGTATTGAATAAATTTCGTCATCAAAAGTAATAATTGTGTTTTTGTTAATTATGCTATGTGACGTTTAATTAGTCTTTAAAGCAATGGTATTGTATCTAAGTCTACTGAAAAAGAGATGAAAACGCATGTACATATTTTAACTTACAATATTTTTTGTGTATCTGACGGTGCATTTATTATGAAATAAGTTTGTCTAGTCATGCTGATAGTTAGATCTATTTTAAAATCTGTTTATAACGTTTTTGTTGTTCAATGGTTTTATTTTGATATCAATATATTATTAGTATTTATCAAACTTTTTTTTTGCGTGAGTGGTTTCGTAAAGAAAAATTAATTTTTAAATGCAGCAAACTATTTCAAGTGTTTTTGTGGTCTATCAACAACCATTTTCAGGTAATATTTTGTTATTATTATTATTACTACCACTTGGACAAAGCTATGATTTTAAATAATAAATATTTTGATCGTTCCTATATACAGAATAGGACCAAAGCAAGTTCTCGGAACTGCGTTGTAATTCACATATCACTGGTCTTTTCCATTTAGTGTTGTATCTTCCTGATCGTCTTCCTGATTACTTATATGACTCAGATTGATTACTTAAACCCACAGTCATAGCTTTAACATTTGATTTTATTCTTAACTTCTCATTTAGTTATCTTCTAAATTATATAAAATCAACCTATTTTAAAATATATTTTATTTAAAAATATGTGTAAATAATTGTAATATCATTTTGACAATAATTATCAACTGGATGTTTAAAATTACGCAAGTGATATCATTGTACAAACTTCTGTATCTAAAACTGCCTATCATTTTGATAGTAGATTTCAACAAATATTTATTAGAGTGTATTAAAAAGTTGTAATTATCATTTCACTAATAATAAATAATTAAATAATTGAATAATTTTATTATAATAAATAATCAAATTATATGGATATTAGCAATCTAGATGTGATGCATATTCATCGCAACCGCCCTCAATTGCTGCAAAAGGATTAATTAAACGGCAGATTCAATCTTCTAGCATGGTTTTCTAAATGGCTGTGACTGGTCAACGAACATACCACAAGACTGGTATCTTTATGGGTCATCTATAGGAGATTGCTCAGTTTTTTTCTTAATAGAACGGTTGACTTACATGTGCTTGTATATTCTTGAGTTTTCCCAGCTTGTATTAAATGGATTACTACAACTTTTTGTATTGATGCCAGCGGTATACTCTCTTTCTTCAAATATTCCAAATGATTGCCTGAATCATATCTCTGGCCAGCACATATGCCTTGGATTTGACGAAAATATCTCTGTGACCGAAAACTCAAAGTAGGGAAATGTTTGACTGGTATATAGGCATGATGTGCAGCAAAAAGAAATCATCTTGAATGTAAATTAGACTTAACTTGAGAGTTTTAAAGCAGCTTGATATTTGATAGTGTGTATATTTTGACATCCTTAATAGCAGTTTTTTTCGACAACTTTTACTCATTTCATTTACCTTCTTGTATACATATGTACTATACATTATTGTTTGTATTATAATAATTGGTTATTCATTTATATGTATTAATTTGACACTATTTTAGTGACATAAAGAAAACGGACCATCATTAAAGGCAGCATATGTTCAGTTTAAGGTTTGTCATTTCACAATGTGGGGCATTAAACAAAAATGTTTATAATTTTTTGGATCGAATTTTCTTAAGTGATGTAAATTATTTTTTGCTTGGTGTTTATGTCAACAAAAAAAAAAAGTCTCATCTGGGAGACGAAAAAGTATTTCATATATAAAAACTTGTTCCTTTGTGTGCCATTTGGTCTGAAGGTATAATAGCTCCGCATTTCTTACATTATGATGAAGATATGATGCATATCATTTAATTTGATTGCTATTCTTACAGACTAAGATATGGCTGTGCAAGATGTGGTTCTATAGTACAGTACTAGAAGTTATACAATACATCCTATTATGGCTTTGTACCGTAAGCCATTTTCTGGATATGCAATTCAAATTTTTGTGAAGTAAATCCTCCACCAAGATCAGGCTAATTATCACTGTTGGAATTCTGCTCTTTTTTTAATGGGTTTACTCAAAAGAGATTATATGTGTGTGGACTATCGCCAAACACTCGACTTTTTAAGAACAAAGTCCAGCTATTGCTAGTTTTATGTCGAGAAGTCATAGAAAAATATCTTAAAAGCCTCTAGTACTGTACGATGTTCCATGAAGAATATTTAAATTATGGTGTCCATCACATTTAAAGCAATTTAGTGCTTAAAAAAATGTATCCGAAAGACTTACTAAAAGTACGTCTTCATTACGTTTATTTTTAGAAACAGAATAGACAACTCTATGTGTTCATAAATAATAATATTCATATGACATATAGAAATGATTAATTAATTTATCAACTTTTTTCGATGACAAGAAAAACCTGCATCAGGGACTATGAAGGAAGTACACCATTTAAAAAAAATCTTAGTAATGATTAATCGCCTCTAAAAAACCAGACAATACTGCAGAATTGTGCATTTCGGGTTGGAGTTCACTTTATTTATATAAATGCTGTGTGGACACACAATCGGAACACTGCTAATATGTCAATCTAGTAAATATTGGCACAGCGCGACAGCTGCATCAGCTGCTCTCGAATAGTGAAATGGCAATAAAGCAGCAGCATTTCATTGCCTGGCAAACGTATTTCTTTTGTTTTTACAGAACAATAAACAATGAACTTCGCAGTGGTGACTGTCCTAGATTTATTTCCCAACTCGTCGCGTCATTATTGCTATTTCTGCTTAGAATTCACTCCACTTTTGCGGCAATTGTTGTATTGGTCGCACTGTAAAGCTGTCGACATTGTCATTTTCATTTTCAACGTCATTGTCTAATCGTAGGAGTTTGGTGAAAATATATATATATATTTTTTTTGGGATTTTATGAGCTCTTTTGGTTGAGCATTCATGCGTACGTGTGCTTTATTATTTACTTAAGGCACAAAACCTCATAACCAAACGCCTACACTGAGCAATGAACACTGATCACACATATTTGGCAACAATTGGCAGTATTCAACTATCAAAATTGTTTCCTTTGAATCGAATAAAAATGCCTTCGGTAAAAGAGGAGTGTGTAGGATGTAAGCAGCTGGTCTAGGAAGAGCTTTCATCCGTACGGCAGATGACATTTAAATCGATTGACGTCCTATTTTGGTCAACAATTTGTGAGCAGTAATGAACTCTTTTGAATATGTAGGAAATCTGACATGAGTGACAGTTGTCGTTGAAGTATTGAGAAAACGAAAAAAATGTACAAAGTACTATCGAATTGAAATCTGACGTAATTGTAATTACACATTTGGATGAAAAATTATTGTCCTAAAGCATAATTGAAATTACGTTACACGCTAGGAATTTTATGCTTCTTAAAATTGTGTTGTCTTTTAGTTGTAATTTTATAAGGAAGTTTTTTAAAGTTTTAAATCAGAATCTAAACTAAACATTATAATTTTTGAATATATATAATACTTAAACAAGATATTTTTTAATGTTGTACAGCATTCACTAGTACCATAAAAATCATGTGTCGACGTAAATGTTCATTAATTCATTCAAGTAGTTTATAACTTTTGTACATATGAATAAAAATCGTTTAATTTAACATACTTTTTAAATTCAATTATGACGAAGGAAAACTACTTTAGTAATAGAGAGATTTATTGAACCATAGTGAATTACAACAAAATTTTATTTATTAATTGGGTAATTCTACAGCGGGTTAATAATAATAATAATAAAAGAGTAGACGTGAAAATTACTGCGTACTGCGGCCAGAAGAGACCTATTGTACCAGTTTCACTATTGATTAAACAAAGCCCCTTAGAGCTTTGTGAATAAAGTCTAGAACTAAATCTAGAGAAGAGTTCTTAATCTGTTCTGATGACAGAAATTCTTTATGAAACAGGTTTCTTCTGTGCGTTATTAAAGGTGGACAGTCACAAAGAATGTGCATGGTCGCTTCCTCAATTTCGAGGCATAATCTGCATTCCGAGTTAGCAGATAATTGTAGTTTATGAAGGTGATATTTCAGACCGTAGTGACCTGTAATGACAGCGGGTTAGATTTTTGTCAAATATTTAATCATCATCTGGAAATTTTTGTTGGGCTTATAAGTCTATATTGAAAGAATAATATTGAAAGAAAAATGTGTGGAAAATAATGCATATTAATTATTCAAAATTAATTTGTTAATTAGACATTTGGTTATTCCGAAATTGATTTATTCCGAAATCAATTTAGTAACAGCTTTATTTCCAGAAGTGGTCCTCTTAATTGACACCTGGGTTCGTGCGATTTAACGCCTTTCGGTTACTTTTTATGTGGCTATGTTAAGCCATTGGTTTATGTTGACAAACCAGCAACTCTTGAAGCATTTGAAGCTAATATTCATGTCACCATTGATGCCATACAGCCGCATTTATTGCAAAACGTAGACAAAAATTGGATTTCTCGAATAGACTACATAACTCGTATCCCCGGCGGAAATATACCGGAAATCGTATTCAATAGCAAAATTAATGCCATGAAATTGTTTATCAGATTCTAATAAAAAAAATTTCATTCCAACATGGTTTCTGTCTTGTTTTATCATTTTTAGTTATTAACAATTTCTAAAAGTTGTGGCTTCTAAATTTGTTCTAAATAACAAAAACAACAAATGCTTTCATTGCTATCTTTCGAGAACCTAGAAATATGTATGTAATAAAAAACTAAAAATGTGTACAACGATAGGTTCTTGCAACTTTGGTTCATTCTGTTAAAAAACTTAAAGTTACTGCTTCTAATTTGGCAGGTTTAAAACTTTAAGCTTAAGACTTGGCTTAGGTTAATTGTTATATTCTAACAATTATATATGGACTTATTAAAGTAATAAATATTTTCAAAGACAATCAAAAATTTTATTTGATTAGAAAAAAAAGTTTGATCCTTATAATTTAATTTTATTTTGAAAATAGTGGAAGTCCACTTTTTAATGTTAGAGGAAATGATTTGGTATGTAAGCGAGCAGATATCAGCATATTTTCCCATCTATTAAAAAGGTTTGTACTGCTCTTTAATTCTGGAGAGTATTGTATCTTACAGTTCATTCATTTAGATTTCATACCTTGTTTTGGTATATTTTGTAATAGATGTTTTATATATATCTTTATATATAATATCTACCACCCCGATTTACAACAGAGCTTTTAGGGTGACTGTCACTTAATACCTTATAAGTTAATACGGCGCTTGCATTCGTCAACTATCTCTGACGAGATGCAAAATGCTGAAATAGTTTTGATAGTTGTCTGACTGTCATAGTGAATAAAGACTTCCTTTTCTTGGAACTCCATATCCGTCTTAACAGAAGACGCTTTCAGAATATTAACAGTTTCTGTTAGAAATATTTACGTAGAGTTGCAAAGGTAACACGACTTATAGATGACTAAGTCCACGGAATCATATAAGAGAGATTTTTATTGAAAGTACATATATGTATTTTGTAATTTAATTTTCATGTAATTGAAAAGATCCGTCATATCCACACGCAAGTTTTTGATAATGAAATTGCCTTGTCTTGAATTTATTTATGCAAATAAAAGGAAAATACTTCCCTTAATTTCAATATATCTCAATATAGTTTCGAGATATTTTTGCTTAAAATTAATTTACGAAACCGCAATAATCAATTGCAAGTAATATTTCTTATTGTTGAAAAATATTAAATTTACTTTCAATGTATTTATGTATGGTTTTGAAGTACTTCCACGAATTATTTGCCAATTAATTTCGAATATTCTACGCATTTGCATACGCTTTGGCAGTATTTAATGAACTTCACTAGGGAAAGTGGTTGCATGGGGCGGTTGCTAGGTACAAAGAGGTTTTGCATTTAAATGCACTTCATCTAAATGCAATTTTGTACTCGTATTTACAAGCATCAAGCAAACAAAAAGCATTTCCAAATACAAATATTTGAACACGTAGGGAGAAGTAACCAACGACAATGATATGAATAATAAATTCTGAAGAATTTCACTAAAACGAAATAAATTGTTTGTTGATGAAATTTATTCAAGACGAAATTGCTTTACTGTGTTTTGTGGAATACAACTTGTAAACTAACCCCACAGCTATTGCATATGACATATAACCAAAATATCAATCATCTCAGAGTTCCTTTATTTACATAGAAATGTATCTCCATATGCGGTCTTATATGCAATTTACACTATTTTCTATAAGTTTCAAATTTGTTTTATTATTAATTTTATGAGGTTAACATAGTAGTTTTTTGAAATATAAAACTAATTAAATTTACATTTATTATTAAAATATAATGATAATATTTTAATATAATAATGATAACCCTTGTTACAGCAGTGTCTTGTGATCATACATCCAACAGGGGCCACTATTATCTGATAAAACTAAGAGAATATCTTGAAAAATACAATAATGTCGTCGTCGTTATTGCGCGTTTTCCGAGTTAGTGCATCTGGGCACTTTTACTCTACGATGGCTGGGTGGTTTCTGCAGAGTCCCACCCATCTAACTGACTAATTTGTGTATTCCTCTTAAGTTTCGTGATTATTCAATAATTGATCTAAGATCTCATAGGCTTTACGACATAAAATTGATTAGAAGTGCAAACTTAAGTCGTTCCAACTTTTTCTTAGAGATAGTGGCAAAAAATTCCACCTATCTCATTGACTAATTTGAGTATTCATCATAATCTTCGTGGTTATTCAGTGATTGATCTAAGATCTCATATGCTGAGAAATAGGCTCATAAAATTGGCTTTACGATATAAAATTGATTACAAGTGCTTACTTAAACCGTTCCAACTTTATCTTAGAGAGTGTGGTAAAAAATCATACAAATTTTGTTCACTTAGATATTATTTGTTAAAACATGCATAATTTATTTAAATAATTGTTTTTTTTTTCTCAAATATATTTATAATTTTGTTAATGCAATTTTGTTTTCATTATTTTCATCACCAACTTGCGAAATTATTAGTTTGAGGTTGAGTTGTGTTTTTGTAACTCATCTGTTATAGATTTGCATTATTTTAATGGGTTTATTAGTTAGGTGTATGTGGTAACTATTGGCTTAGATGTCTACCGATCTGCATATAACTGTAGATGTGTGAAGTACTCGTCATCTTCCTCGTTTTTCTTCCTAAATATATTAAAAGTGTTGCCTTGTTTTTGAATATACCATATAAACACTCGCTACACAACACATACTGTCCAATTATCCTATGAGGTCCCATACAGGCGTTGAAGTTTGATTTCTGGCTTTATATCTCGCTTGTCACGTCTAAAAATAAAATATTAGTAGTAATTATTTTGCTTTTAAATTTCTTATTAGTAATTTCTTAAATATATTACTAATACCTTACTTAATTTATTTCATAAAAAAAATAAGTTACGTCATTTGTCTTCCGCTGATTGTCTACAATTCACTTACGAAATTTAAGCTACATTTTTTGAGGGTGTTACCAACAAGGTTGTGCCCTAACGTGTTTGTATTTGCTAAGGATCGTTTTCGTAAACGATTACTACTATTCATTATACTAGCTGTAGTATTGAAGTTCTCTAAATATATTAGTTTCGGCGTAGATCTTTCATCGTGCCACCTATAGTCATCGGAGCCTGGGTCCTCAATTAATTTCCTTAAGTTTGTGAAAGCAGAAAGCATTAAGTTTTCTTTTCCAATTTCTCCAATGGTGTGTACTGTTTGGTATGTGGGTTTTAGCCTATTATGCTCAGTTCACAATGCAGTTCATGTCAACATTTTTTACCGCTAGATTTATACATGTATTTTAGTTGGCCAGTTATTCGACAGATTCGTTGTCGAAGCTTTGTCCCTGAAAGCTAAGAATTTGAATTGTCATCTATAGTTACTCGAGTTTGTATGTATACATTTCTTACCTATATATTTACATATGTTTTATAATTGTCTAAAGTCTCGTCAATTAAAGCTTTTGCCATAATTTATAGTTCATAGCACACATCTTACATCCTCTCATCTGCTGTTGTGGATGAATAGTGTTCATGAATATTTTTGACCAATATAGTTGTTCGTGTGCTAGAGGCAATAATTTAGTCATCAGCTCAGTTATCAGAATTTGATTCCTAAAAGGAGAGCAATATTTTACCCAGGGATGTATTTTTTAAGTAAAAATTTTTAATCGTATCAACTATACCGGAGTCTATGTGCATGTTTTTTACCTTGTGCATGTATTATTACCAAATTTAAACGTCTGCAGTGATATACAGGTTTTAGCGAAGACCTTTTCTGTTATGTTCTGCAATTTTAAGAATGTTTATCAATATTTCTTATCAATGTACTCAAGATGCACATAACAGATTACATAGAAACCACCAAAGTGTAGTCTATTAAATTAGGAGATATACAATAAAGTCGCAGTTTTTAGCTCGGACCTTTCGATCTGCCATGTTCAGCCAGATATGGACTAAAAGTAAAAATAATATTTCAAAGTTGTATTCTTTTGTTCGAACCTTTTATTTTTGTTCAATGTCTTGTTCAATCAATCATAAAATAGTTTTACTGTGGAATTATTTTTCTTAGTTTAGAATTTTCTTAGTATTAAATTTCTTACCTATTTACTTGTAAGTGTATTATTGCCGCTTCAGCTCACTGAATGATAGAGTCATCAGTCCGGTCCTCAAAGAATTCTTCCTGAAAACAGGGAATTTCTCGCGACAATTCATACTTTGATCTCCAGGTATTGAAACTTTCGTCAACATTTCATATACTTCTATATGTGTTTTAGACGTCAAAGTTTTGTCCGTGAAAGCAGAGAATATAAAATATTCTGTAGTTTAGTAGTTTGACGTCTCTATTCTCTGCTATCTGAAATAAGAATATTTAGTGTAGTAAATTCTTCTAAAATTAAAAGAATTATAAAAATTAAAATTAATTATAATTATATTATAAAATTATAAAATTTAAAATAAATAATCTGTGTGATGTTATACCTATTAATCACTGTATGTCGTTTCTTTTTAAAATTTATCTTATACTGGATTCACACGAGGGTCTGGATTATAATTTTAGCTGTTATTGTAAATTATACTTTATTTTGATAGTAAAACAAGTTCATATCAAAAAGATTTTTGATAGTTGAATTGAATCATAATTTCCACAAAATCAAATTGATTTTAACTTGATTAGTTCACTGGAGTACAGTACTGTGCAATACGAACTTATGCTATTATGAATAGTTTTGAGGAATTAATAAAATTTCCAAATAAAATGAAACAAAACTGATATATATCATATATGCAAAGGATATATTTTGTGAAAGTAGTTAAAAAGTGCGGACATATGGTATGATAAATCTGTTAATCAAATTACAATAATTTGTCGTGTGAATCTATATTTTTGCTTTTATATTTTCTGATATCATTTTAATATTTTTGACAACTAAAAGTACAATTAACCCATTAAGTACCAGGTAATTTCAGACTTATAATTTTACGGTGAAATTCTCATAGTAAATAGTAGAATAAAACAACTTTAGATAAAAGAGTTTGAGAAAAGTTTAATATTTATTTAAAAGATTACTCTCATTTTATCTTTACTTAAATAATATAAAACATTCTTAAAGAGGTTTTTTCAAACAGTAATGAACTACAACAACAAAAACTTTATTTTTTATATTATTTTAATTAATTGAAGTTCTGGTTAACCAAAAATTTTTTTTTAATATTCTTTGAATATTAAGAAATATTCAAAGCTACTTATGTGGTGTACGACACGGTGGTTCCGAATTGGCTTAAAACTCTCGTGTGAATCCAGTATTAATCAGCTTATATAGTTTTGAAGTCGTGTTGTTCTTTCGTAAGTCATTTTTAATGTTTTTCTAATGAATAGATTCTAATGAATCCATTTCCCGCCAAGCGGTCGAATTTTCGACCAGTGGTTGATATAGCTGATATAGTTATCCTAGTTTATATCTTATTTAACAATTATATCATGTACTGTCAATATGATATTATAACCACTATATTATTACTATTATTAGTTTATTATCATATGATATGATAATTATTATATATTTATTATATAGGTTATGTAATTTTGGATGGTGTATGATTATATTATAACAATTATCACCTTATCACCTTTACACAGATATAGAATAGGTATAGATATAGAACACTCAATGCCTTTACACAGATATAGAATAGGTCCATATTTCTAGTGTACAAGTTTTGGGATTTGTATGAAACGGGGTATATAATCCATTAACAGATAGCACTGGTTCCTGAGGTCGTTATTGGTAGGCTCTCTGTAGGCTTGGTTATGTAAATCTATGATTTGCACATTTATAATGTTATTATCTTAACTAATTATTCCTGCACTTGTAGCATTTCTTTGTATATATATTGACTAATTATCGTAGTTTTCTTCAATAATTTTTGCTTTAACTTAAATAATAAAAGTCTATGTTAGTAGTCGTTGTTCGAAAAATCGACCAGAATTTTCTAAGAATCTGAATATCAGAAAAATGTGAAAATTTACAATTTTCTTAATGAAACCAAATGTGGCGGGAAATGGGTTAAATTATTTTTCTATTTTGTTAATGAGTGTAAAAATTCTCTATTAGATTTTTATATTTACTAATGATTTATTACTAAAATAATGTTAAGTGGAAGAAAATGTATTAATAAAGCTAAAGTTGCAATTAAATTCTAAAATTAATGAGCACAAATTATTTTGCCGCCTGACAAAGCGGTCCTCCACAATTGTTGAATCTCTCAACATCTTAACCAGGCGACAATTAACTTTATTCCACCAGAAGTACACGCCCACATCATTTGTTCGCGCTGCTTGTTTTGCTTTTCCAGCTTTCGTGCAACAATCTCCATGCAACGCAAGCAACTTAAGTACAAAAAACTGTTGCAATGTTAATGGAAAAACAGAAGCCAATCCGAAAGGGACAAGATTGGAGCTGGGAAAGCAAAATTATTGTGAAACAAAGCAACAAAATAGTTCAGAACTGAGGAACTAAAAACGTGAAATTTTAAAAATATAAGAATAGAAAGAAGAAGCATAAAAATAACAAACCAACTTGTTACGCTCTTGTTATCCTTCTGGTGAAGGATGCGATCTTAATTTTTTGCCTCACATTTTGCATTTTTATACAATTTTATTTGTTTACATTGTTGCGATGTTGTGGCAACTTTTTATGTGGCATTAAATAAAGTTCAAGGATGTTAGTCAAACAGGATTCGCACAAACAAAGCGCGGAATTCTCGAATTCTCGTATTCTCGAATCCTCGAATCCTCGAATTCTCTTAATACTTTAAAAGTTAATGAAGTGCTTTAATGAGACCATGAAAAATGATGCATTTTAATTTTATAAAAAAATGGAACTGAAAATAATACAAAATCTGCAACAAATAAATGTTTTCCATTATTTAAATGAATATTTCCGCAAACGCAGTAAAGCATAATTTTTGGCTTATATATCTTTAAAATATTTTAGCTATTTTTAAGGATTTTTTTATAATTTTTTTATAATTTTTTTGCTCTAAAAATTTGGATACTTTTTTTGTGATCCTTGAAATGTCTTAGCTATATAATCAACTTAGTGGAAAAAAAGTGTATCTTTTCTTTACAAACAAAAGGAGATTTTGACATCTTTACTTAGTTTCCGTTTTTTTCTTGTATTCGGTATTCTCATTGGGACTTTCAATTGTGCTACTTTGGCACTTATTAGAGCGACAGCATCTTTTGAGAAAGGCAAAAGGAAAAGAAATTCACGCAGTCAGGATAACAAAATGTCGTTAATCACCGTATTATGTGCGCATTAAAATTTTATGTCAAATAACTTGGAATGACCCAAATAAAAATGATGTGCTCAATGCCATTAAATTTGCCTTTTGTCCTTATAATCTGTATTCCCTACTTCTTCCCTATCCTCATTTCCATATCCCTATTATTAATAATTTCACTTCACTTTCTGTTTTCCTGTTTTTTAACTTTTCTTTGTTCATGCGGCTCGGCTTTTTGTTACTTTTCGAATAATTTATGTGCACAAAATTAAGCGCAGATTCAGTAAATTTGCCAAATTCTTATTAAGTAAAAAATTCACTTCTGCTATATTTTTATTACATTAAAAGAAAATATACTCAGAAAACTCACATGTGTCATAATAAAGTTTCCTTTCACAATTTAATGATAAAAATTTATGATTTTCTTTAACAAAAATATACATCGTGCAGAAATCCTTAAAGTTCATACATGAGCTCAAGTTGAAAGCCGTAAATCAATTAAAATATTTCAATTATACTGCAATGTCACAATTCAACTGTCAATTCTGATATTGATTGATATTCTTGAAGTTAAAAATTGTTTTATTTAAATTATGTTAAATAATTAAAACGTAAAACTTATTGCAGATATAATTGATTATTATAATTTATCTCAGATACTACAATTGGTAGGTAGGGTAGGTTGGAGCTGCCACTTTTGTATCCAAGATAGCCTACTTGAACTGAAATAATGACCCATTATGGTACCACAGGAATAGCGTAAGTTCGTACCTAAACTAAAAGGTTAATATAACTTCTGCTTAAAAACTACCGGATTTTGTAAATAAAACACACAAATTTAAATTTTATTCCAAATTTATTTTATCTCCTTCAAAATATGCTCCTTCTGAAGCGATACACATATGTCAACGCTTAACCCAATCTTCCATACACTTTTCGTAGGCCCGTGCAGGTATGGCTTTTAGTGCCTTCGGCGAATTCTCTTTTACCGATGCAATCAACTCAAAACGCTTACCGCGAAGGGGCAATTTGAGTACAGATCTGGCGAATATGGTGCCTGAGCGATGACAGTGGCACCGTGTTTGGTCAAAAAATCGCGTACAACAAGAATTTTCCATAGTAAAAATCGCTAAATGCACTTGAGATAGTCTCACATTAACAGCTGTAAACAAACTAATTGACAGATGGCGCTCAAATTTGTACCATATGTCAAGAAAGGGTGTACCAACATAACAAAATTTTTTGAAAAAGGTCTATTACTTAAGAGTAGTTAACAAATAAGAAAATCCGGATATTCTTTGAGCAGAAGGTACTACCAACGTCGAAAAAGATGACGCGCTCAATAAGTAAAGGTAAACCAACCTGACAGTTCTAACATATGCATTTTGCTAAGTACCTAATATTGCAGGATAACAGCTCGTTCAGGTCGCTAAGAAAAAGGGTCCAGGTCGCTAAGAAAAAGATTTTTGATCTTCACCTAGCTAAAGAAGGGCACTAACATATAAGATACTACAGTAAAATAATTAAATTCAATAATAGTAAATAACATATTATTTGCCTATTAGTTTTAAAATCAGTTAAAAACTTGCGAGGTTTAGTTATAAAAGAATACTTTTTTGACAGATGCCTATTAAGAACAATTGCTATTAAGAACATTTCGTGCTTCTCAAATATTTTGATACCTCTCTTGTATTGAAGATTTAGAAAATAAAACTTTTCCTTGGAGCATTTTTTATGACCTGCGAACAGATAGTAGTCTTTGGGGCCACATCTAGTGAAAATAGTGAATGCGAAAGCATTCTCCTGATGAAACAGCATATTTTCTTTGACATTTCAGGCCACTATTTGCCGATTTCTGTCCTACAAACTAAGTAAATATTAGTTGAGGAGTTTTCCTTTTTTTAAGGTAGCCGACACATATAACATTATGCGCATGTCAAAACATGAATGCCATAATTTTAACAGCAGATTATTGCGCATTTGATCTCCTTCGATGACTTTATCCACTCAGTTGACTCCTGTTTTCATTCCGAAGTCATGTAATGAATCCATATATGAGTTATTGCATATTTCGATGCAAAAATTTAATTTTTTTTAGTTTAACACCTCCAAATTACTCTCCATTTAAGCTCTCTGAATCGATGACATTTTGTAATTGATATATCTGGTTAATACATATCAGGTCTTCTTCCAAACATGGGCTATTTAACTTGTCAACTGATTGATATCAATTGTTTTTTCCCACTAATGTTACAGGAACTTATCATATATGCGATCAAGCTGCTCAAATTAGGATCCTATTCAGTTTCAACTCGTGACTATGTTCCATGGAATTAAGATAAAAACATATTAATTGTCCTCTCTGACACTATCTTTTTAACTATAATCGAGTGTGATTTTAAGGAGGTTGACTATCATCTTCATTTCTTATTTATGATCATGTTAATAAAGAAATCTATATGCTTAATTTAGTCATCTTCCAACTGATAAATTTTATAAATTGATAATTAATCAAATTTAAACCAAATTTGTTAAATTGATTAAATTGTAATAACTAGTAAATTTATGATAATAAATAAAAATAAAATTTGATAAATTTTTCGCACAGGGCAAAACTGTTATTGAGTTTTTAATAATATATATCAGCTGTGGAAAAATAAGTTTGAATTTTACTTACAATTTTATAATATTTTCTTAAATATTAGTTAGAGTCTTGAGATACAATCTTAAGACTACTAATATTAAAATTTTGCTTATCCTTAACGTCTGGTGACATTTGCTTTAAGGTCTTTTCATCAATATTCTTTTCTGGCATGTTCCAAAGCCATTTTCTTTTAGCACTTTCTATGGAATTATAGGAAAGACCCAACCCAACCCTCCCAATATTACGAAGCATTTTAGTGGTATAAAGCTACAATTGTCACAAATAATTTTGAAAAGTAATCTAAATCGTTTAAATTAATTTTGTCCGAAAGGCAACAATTCTATAAATAAAATTAAATTAAATTTAAAATAAAATAATTTAATTAACTTTTTATATAATATAAAACTAAAAAGTCAATGATATTATGATTACTTCTTCTTCCTATTTGGATCCCAAGTCCAGAGTGAACCTTGACCTCCCTAACGATTTGCCTCCAATGGTCCTCATCTTTTGTTACTCTTCTAGTTTAGTATTCCAATCATTTTTTCATCGCCATACACGTTCTCATCCCATCTTGTTCTTGACCAACCTCTGTGCCTGGTTATCATCGCCTGTCTCTCCGGTCTCATTCTTACTACATTACAGCTTTTGCGACTTAAGGTATTTAACTATATATATGTATTTCACTATATTTTCGTTTCTTAGTAGTTCTTCAAGTTCATTATTTGTTCGTCTTTCAAAAGTTTCTGCATCAATTTGGATTGGCCCGTAGATTTGGCGAACTATTCTTTCGAAAAATGATTACTTCATGATCAGCATTCTGCATTTTGTGGCTGCGAAAGTAAACGTAAAAAAAAAATCGACTTCTAATTGAACTTTTGACTATATTTTTAATTTTATATATTGTTTGGATTTTGGCATTAGGTGCAGTATCCCACTTCATGCCAATATTCTTCACAGAATATATCACAGTACTTAATTCACTCTAGATCATTTCAATAATAGCGAACAAATTGTCAAGATTTATAGTTTGTGTCATATCTTAGTCGTTTTCAAATCAGTATAGATCTATAATAAGCACTAGTACAAATATCACATCGTAGATTAAATTTTTATGGATGCAATGAATTTTTAATAACTACTTGTAAATTTTCAATGTCTTCAGATGTGTAGCACTGAAGTTTATTTGTTTGAGATATAGAACATAAAGAACCAAGTAACAAATAGAGACTCATTATTGAAAAAATTTTAATGCAAAATAATGCCATCTAAACTCTGTTGTTCAGAACTGGTCACATTAGTTGTTCCATGGAATGGCAATCTATGTTCTAAAGACAGTTCTGCCTTGGATGTCAGTTCCGCTGTATATGCCACTAAACCAGTGATACTAAATATGGCCAACGAAATGAGTGTTAATACTCAGAGTAACTCAAACGCTCTTGTTCGAGCATCCATCAGTGGTTAATAGCAATCTTAAGGTAAACAAGTAATATCTTCGATAACAGTTCTATTTGCGTTTGCCATTGAAGTAGTGTTGCCAAGTAAGGACTATGAAATAAAGAACTCCTTATCTCTTTATCAGCGGCCACTGCCAGTATTAATTTTTGTGTTTAATAGAACTTTATTGTAAGAGATAAAATGCATTATGAATAATGTCATCTGTGAATTTTTATTCTGAAGGCATTAAATATGCTTTAACTAGAAAACAGTCGACGTTAATAACCATGAAAACTATATAAGAATAAAATTAATGGAAACTAATTTTTATTAAAATTTTTATATAAAACTTTATGTTGATTTATTTTTATTGCTACCTCAAGAAAATATTAAACGGAAAGTTATTACTTAGCATTCTTAAAATATTAAATATAAAAATTAATACGCTTTTACTATAAAAATTTAGAATGCTTATTGAACAGTACCACTTTTGATTTATGGATCATAAAGCTCATTTCAAAAACATTTAAGAAAGTAATAAAAATAAAATATTTAGTTATAGTAAAACATATTTATGATACCGCATAAAAGTTTTTAGATTAATATGTAATCGTTGATAAAGTCAATAGATATTTGAGCTTAAACTGGAAGAAGGTTTTTACATAAATCATGCATAACATAAATTAATGCACAGAATCCACTGAGGAACTTAATCCATTTTTATAAATATTTTTCTTTACTATTTTTGATAAATTTGAGCATTTTTGGTTTTAATGGTGCAAAGAGCATTTGGCATTGTGCACTAATTTTAAACGTTCACCTAACGAGGTCAATTGGGGTTTGCTTTGAGCAAAACTAGCTGCTAAAAGGAGCAACAAAAGAGGTGGGCTCTACGAGTATCATCAACCTCATTTACCACTCCAGCAACGGTGGCAACTGGCTGAGCAGCGACAGATGCAGTAAGTCAACCACATCGTTGCGCACATTATCCATTTGTGACGCAAAAGTCGTTTTGTTCCATGACGCGCACACACAAATAGCTTTTCCATATACACTATGGCACATATTGTGTTTCGCTGCATTATTCTTGTATCCTTGAGTAAATTTTTTAAATTTTTGGATCGTACTCCACCCCATCGCTTAAGCAACTCCCATTAAACTTCGATGTCGCAGAGTTGCTTTGCTTTGACTGAAAGTGAATATTAAAGAAAGGACATTGCGCTCTGCTTTGTTGTGTGTAACCGTGAGGGTCAGGGCGACTACGGAAATAAAATAATTTTTATCGGAATTGCAGAAAAGTCAAACTTAAAGCACAAGATTTGCTTTATGTTAGCTACAAAGAAAAGGGTTCTTACGAATCAAATGAAAACTTACTCAAGCGACAAATTTGAAAACGAAGAGAAAAACTCACGTGCGGAATATTAAATAAATTACCATTGCGATGTGATGCGGTACGATGTTGGTTTTAAGAACCGAAAAAGAGTTTAGAATTTGTATGATAAGGGATTGCATGAAATGTATAAAGTCTTTTATCAGAAAATTTGAGACGAGTTCATGGAAAGGACAGAATGCAAGATGCTGCAAGGAAGTAAAGATATCGCAATTGGTTACGGTTCGATTCTTATAATTTGTACAAACAAGAATAAAACAGTTTTTACATATTTGATTACAATATTTTGATTACTACGATTTTATAAAAGAGCAAGAAACTAACTAAAAATTATAGTTAAAGGGTGTAACATATTGCCACTCTTGAGGTCTCTAGTGTAACTTAACTTTCGGGATAAGTTAAATTTTAGACTTAGGGAATAACCTTTGGTATGTCAATTAACACATATTGAATACTCTTTGGCATATAGAATATATTGTATTTGAAAAGTTATAATAACAATAGATATCGAGATAAAAAAAATATTATGAATGGTGGTTTTCATACAATTATTTATTTAGCATAATCGATTCATAAAGTCCTCTATAAATTGGATTGAATACTAAATTTGTGTCGCAATTAGAAGAAATGACAAAAATTCGTTTTAACAAGAAGAAATATCATTAAAATAAACAAGATATATATATGTAACATATATAGTATATATATATATATATTCTACTTTAAAGTTAGTTTGTGAATTATCTTGAGTAAGACAAATTTTAGGAAATGTGCTAAGGTCACATGCTACAAATTTGTCTAATTATCTGAAATTAGTAATTAGATGACTTAATTATTATGCTAAGGTTGTTGTTATATTAAATATATCAGAGAAGTTGTAGAATACAAAAATCACCATAGAGTGTGGTGATACTATGAATATGCCATTTGGATGAGCCCAAACCATTTTGAAAGATGATTTACACTTAAAGAGAGCCAAAAACACTTAATTTTTTAGAAAAATAGCGTCATGTTGAAGTCTTTCAAACAATTTTTTCTTACTATCTGGTTAAAATGAAGTGTATATTAACTGGAGATGAGACTTGGATCTATTCAAATAAACCAAAATCTGCCAAGAAAAGATAGCCCCAAAGTCAATCAAATTCAAGTGTTATTAATTATAGTATGGTGTTTTTCCTTCTACTCGGCTAAACTGATAAGAAGGGATAATATTTGAACATTATTTACGTAAAGCTGCTTGAAGAAAAAGAGGTCAAAGTTATAGTGCGACAATTGCACTACGATAACGCAATATCTTATACTGTATTGCTTTTTCGAGAGCATTTAATCAAAAATTTAAATCATATCATTCCACAATTATCGTATTCACCTGATATAGCATTGGATGACTTCTGGCTAATCTCTACATTCAGGAGACCCTTCCTAAGACATTGTTTTAACACAATAAAAGAAATAAAAACCCATGAGCTACACGGTTTTAAGGTCTTTCCGACAAATTAATTCATCAATTGTTTTCAGGCTACTAAGTAGTCCAGGCTAGTCAAGGTACCAGCCCCGAGTCCCCGTTTCCACACAATTGGGGTAATAAAAACCTTATTTCTGTACACAGTGTAGACTAATTATTATAAGAATTAGCAAAAGCGTTGGTATAATTGTATTGTTTTATGAAGGGATTACTTTGAAGGTGATGATTAAGATTTTGAAGAATAAATAAAGTTTTTAAAAGTTATAACACAATTTAAGTGTTATAGAGCTTCAATTTTCTTAGCTGTATTTGATCACAATCGGCAGTATTCTCCTTATAAGTTCATTATTCATAATTATTAGCTTCATTATCTAGCCTTGAAGCTCAACCTTGTGAGTGCTCCCTCTAAGAGAAAGTATATGCTTCCTCGTCTATGTAGACTTATTCTAGTTTGTTTTTATATTTCATATTTTTAGCCATTTTGATACATAGTTTAATTAGATAGATAGATAGATAGATAGATAGTCAGAAATGTTTGTAAATACTTGATTAAGCTTTCATTAAATCAGTTTTAATTTATCGGTTTTTTTTTTATAAATGGTTATATGCTACATAATTTTTGTTTGTATTAAAATCGTAGATATATAAAATTATGATTAATTTTAATCTTGAATTAATAAACAATTAAGTGTAATTACCAAATTATATTTATGCTTATATTAAATGTTTTTGGTCATAAATAAAAATGCGCTCTGAAATCGATTAAAAATCAGTTGTACTTGATTTTATAAATTCAGTTTGGTCAATAATTGATAGTTTTAAATCTACTCCTTAACAAACTAACTGCTAATAGAGTGCTTTATAGAATTCTATTTTCGCAATTGTTAGTAATGCCAAGTGTTGTCAATAGGTAGGTATACTCACGCTTCTCCACTTCATGCTGCGACTCACTTTAAAAATCGTAATTCTTTCCCAGTCGCTGTCACTAGTCCACTAGTCCACAAATTTCCTTTGATTTCGA